TAAAATAAAAATAAAAATAAAAAAAAAAATATAAATATAAATATAAATAAATAAGTAGAAAAGTTTCTAATTAAATTATACTTCCATAAAGAAAAAAAAACATCTTAAACATCTATCACATACACGATCATATGCAAGTTATTTTTTTTCCTAGTAGTTAGTAAATAATAATAATGATAATAATAATTTTATTTAATATTTAATCTTTAACTTTATATTATATCACGCTATTCTTTTCTCTTTTACTTTTTTTAATATTTATCACAATTATTACAAAACGAGCTAACAAAAAAAAACCCTTTTTGACAACATGACTTCCAATACAAAAAAAAAAAAGAGCAACAGCAACAAAGTATAATACTAAAGTATAATAACGATAATAAAAATAAAACAAGGACCCATAAAATATTATAATTTTCCAATTTTTTTCAATTCATATTCGTTTTAGCATAATTTTTTCTAATTTTTCTAATATTTCTCATCATCTCATCTCATCATTTAAAAATTTACCATATCTTATTATTTTCACATAAAATATATATATAATATATACACGTATATCTACATATATAATATATATACATACACGTGTGTATATATATATATTGATATTGATATTGATAATTTCGATAATATCGATAATAATAATAATAATATAGTTTTTTTTTACTGTTGTTGATAATAAAAGAAAGAACTATAGTCTTGGGGGTCTTGGGGATAATAATAATATGAAAGATTATTTCCATCAATTTCACCATTGATTTCATTATTGATTTCGATTTCATTATTATTATTATTGATTTCGGTGTCTGAATTAAATTGGTGGTCAATTGAATATCCTGATGACGGGGATGATGGAGTAAGGTTATTATTATTATTATCATCATTATGTGGACTATGAATTGGACTTTCATGAATCGGATTTGGATTATGATTTGGATTATTTGGATTTTGTTGTTGTTGTTGATGATGTCCAGATATAACTAATTGTTCGGTATTAAAGAAAACGGGTGATGTATGTGATTCGCGAGATGATTGTTGTTGTTGATGATGAAGGAGATGATGATGATGATGATGTTGATGATGATGATGTTGTTGTTGTTGCTGAATTTGAATTTGTTGAACAGGCATTGCCTGAAGCTGCGATAAACTCGAAGGATCTTTGTTTACTTCCTCCGCACACAGAATTACTTTTCGTAAACTATCAATAATTTCATGAATTCGATCTTGCTCTTTTGATATTCGTTGTAAAAGTTCACGAATAAATATTAATAATTGTTGAACACAATTTCCTTGCATGGTAAGCTTTTTCAATTCCCTGAAAACATTTTCTGATCCATCAAACAATTCTTTCAAATCA